AGACACCCGTCGGTAGGGCTGAGTTGAAGAAGTTATTCAATCTGTGCGAGAGTTTAGACACCGCCGACACTTACGATGTGTACAACTTTGCCGAGAGTCTGACCGACGCCGTGGCAGTCGTTGTTCAATATAACAATAATATGAAAGGCTTTTGTCGCACCGTTACTGACAAGAGTGGTGGCGCCCGGGCTATAGACCGGTATGCGCGGGCACAGGTCGACCGTCGCGGCGGACAGTGTATTGACTTTAGTTATAAGAATCTGGTCAATAATATCAGCCAGACGTCCAAACATTCACCGGCCGTCTCAACCGGACGTATGTGAACGACACCTGTTTCCTACAGTCTGACCTCTATATAGAGGAACTGATATGAAGATTAAATTTCTATTATTCTACCATAGATGATTCCTTTATATTGAAGTCAGATTGTATTAGAATTTAATATACTGTACATTACTTTATTATAAATTTTTGTATACAAATACAGTGAGACAATGGACTTATCAGACGTGCACTGAATTCGGTTACTATCAGACGAGTGATCTCCCAAACAGTCCCTTCGGACACAACATTCCCGTCGAGTTCTTCACCAAACAGTGCGCCGATATATTTGGTGTCCCAGCACAGGCTGTCCAGAAGGCCATCAGTCAGACGAATGCCTACTACGGGGCCCGTAAGCCAAACGTAACAAACGTGGTGTTCCCTAACGGGTCACTCGACCCCTGGCACGCACTCAGTGTCCTTAAAGACCTTAACAACAGTACCAAAGCTGTGATGATTGACGGCGGGAGTCATTGCAAGGATATGTATGCCTCGAGTCCGTCAGAAACTGAAAGTATGAAAAACGCCCACAAATTAATTGAACAACAAATCGGCGAATATTTAAAATAAAATTAATTAAAGAAAAGGTTCTGAATTTTCTTAAATTGGGCATGATCAAATCCGATGTCACTTGATTAATTATAAACTGTTGATTTAATCATAATGTGAGAATTATAACACATTTCATTATCAAGGCTCAAAAAATATCATTTTGAAAAATATACAAATAACAATCAAAATAAACTTACAATAAAAATTTTAAAAAATTATTTTAAAACATGGTATAGTAATAATAATATTTGTGTGCAATAACAGAATATTCTGTAAATAAAATTTTAATATAACAATACTTGTAAACTCATAATAGAAAGTATTTTGGTAGAAATGGCAAAAGATTTGTCAAATTATTACTATCTTGTAAGAATATATTCTTATCTTATGTTGTGACCATTGAATTATAAACAGGTGTTGTAACCCTCAAAAACATTAATCGCAGTAATTTAATCTATATAATTCAATTAAGGATACAATAGGGTAATTATACAAGATTATTTATCTAATATATACTGTATATTTTTTTCAGCCTTGGTGCTGGTATAGTGTTAATTACTTTATATAAATGTAGCTTAAATATAGTCAATTAATTTAGTTTATAGTTAGACTTCATAGTGATTGCGATGACTCGGTATTTAGCATTAGTTGTGATTTGCATTCATTTTGTATGTAATAGTGAAGCAATCAGTGGTCGGCTCTTATTCCGGGGCCGACCCGTCGATAAGCACGGAATGGTTAGACCACCGGTGGCTCCGATCGGACACTTCACTCAAAGCTTGGCTCAAACTTACAAACAGAAAGTCAATCATTTAGACCCCAAAGACAACCGCACTTTTGATCAGGTTTTGTAAAATTAATGAAATTATTTTATTGGAAATTCAATATAATTTATATCATCTATCTAATAAACTAATGTACAGTAAAGTTATATAATATTTATTTTAGTAATACTATGTAATAGTAGCACTAAATTTATTTTTCCTATCTAATTTTATTAAATATGCATAGCTATATTTCACGAGTGGCACCCACCACAAGCCGGGAGGGCCCTTGTTTTTATTTTTTGGCGGTGAGGGTGCGGCCAGTGATTATTGGCTGCAAACAAGTTTCATGGCTGATATGGGCCGCAAATACGGCGCTTATCTCGTAGAGCTAGAGCACAGGTACTACGGAGTGTCCCAACCCTTTGACGAGTTAACCGTCGAGAATATGAAATACCTGTCCAGCGAACAGGCCTTACGAGACACCGACGACTTTCTACATTATCTAATTAAAAATCTAAAACTAGAGGGCAGTAAAGTGGTTGTGTTCGGGGGTTCATATGCCGGAGCACTGGCCGCTTGGTTTAGAGAAAAGTACCCGAAAACAGCCGCCGGCGCCATAGCCTCGAGCGGACCCGTCGAGGCTGTCGTCGACTTTAAGGACTATTTAGGAGTTGTTACCAATTCGTTGGGAAAAGAGTGTTCAGATAACATAAGGTATGATAACAAACATCATTATTACTGAATTCTGTCTCTCTCTCTCTCTCTCTCTCTCTCTCT